TCCACTCAATTACATTCTCATATTCTGTAGCTTTAAGATGACATTCTTTAATATAAAATTAATGCCCTTATTGCTGCTTTTCCACTTCTGTGGTCGTTGAGGATCACATGTATAACACCAAGCTTTTGAAGTATTATCTCGTTCACAATTTGCACATTTTCCATTATTCTTATCTCTTTTATAATAAAATTTATCAAATACCAAAATATAATCTTTTGTGGATGTGTCTTGTGTTAGACCATATACTTTAAGTTCACTATTATTCGATAACATGAGATTTTTAAACTTAAACAAACGGAATTTAGTCTATTATTAATTAAAGTCAATAACATTGTAAAAAATAATCTAAACTCACCTCACTTAAACCAGGCAATATTTCAAGGTCCACAGTAAAGTTTATTGTACGAGTTGGTTCATTCTTTTCTGGTAAAATTGTTCGTATACCATCTAACCATTTTGCTAATGATCTTTTGCTGAATATCTAATCTATCAAAAGGAATCCACTCAATCACATTCTCGTAAAATGTGACTTTAAGTTGAAATTCTTTAATAAAATCATCAATTTCTTTAATACCACTTGTCCATTCCTGAGCTGTTTTTGGGGGTCACAAGTTTGGCACCATGCTGGAGATGTGTTATATCGGTTACAGTTTGTACATTTCCCATTATTCTCATCTCTTTTAGAATAAAATTCATCAAACACTAACATATATTCATTTGTGTTAGTGTTTCGAGTTAATCCATATATTTTACTTCTTAATTGTACATGATTATTAAACTTGTAATATAAATGAAAGTTAAATTTACGAATACACGTCACCATTTGACTAATAAATTATACAACTCACCTCATTTAATAAATTTCGTAAACCAGGCAATATTTTAAGGTCCACTGTAAAGTTTATTATACGTGTTTGTATATATTCATTCCCTTCAGGTAAAACTGTTCGTTCACCATCGAACCATTTTGCTAATAATCTTTCACCATTTTGTTGAGCATTACCTAATCTATCAAAAGGAATCACGTTTTCGTATGATGTGGCATTAAGTTGAAGCTAATTATCAATTTCCTCATCACCACTT